TTGCTGTGTGTCACCCCTCCAGCACTTAACGATTATGGTGGGAACCAAAAGTGGCAAGCAGTCCCTTTAAATTGTTTGGCATTACTCTTAAGTACCCGATCAGTCAGGGCAATTCAGAGTTAGATGTCTGAGAGCTCTGCACACCTGCAATTACTTAAATCCAGAAAATTGCACCCATAGGTATTTGTAGGCACAAAAACGTTGGCATAAAATTAGAGGCCATTTCCTAAACCCTGTACCTAAATTTTGATGATATACTATATGAGGGGTTGTTATTTTGAAATGGATTTGTGGAAAGCAATTGAAAATCTCCAGGCATCCCATCTGTGTTTAAAGTAACAACAATAACAAAACTTTAAATTAGCATAGGAGATTTAAGACATTTCAGGAAAACATTGATTAAATCTGCCAATGAAATGAATGTGTTTGGCGAGTGACCTAATTAGTGTATACTTGGTTCTTTTTCACTGCACTGCTTACCACTAATTGCTGTTCTGCTGGTCTTCTCCTGACAAGTAAGAAAAAACAAGGATGAGGGATTTGTTGAGGAAATAGTGACATTCAGTTTTAATTCATTTGAACCTGCTGCCAAGCTTAATTATGGAACTGAGAAACTGAGACTGGGAGGCCCCCAGCCGTTTAGGTTATAGGAGATGGAGATGTCTAGTGTCTGCCAGTGTATTTGGGTAGCACTTACTGCAGCTAGCTATAAACCTGTGCTTACTGATGCTTAGCTGTTTTCTTTCCCCCACAGGTACAAAAACACTGGTTTCATTCCTTAAATTTAATTATTTAGCTCTATTGGCATCAAGCCAAAACAAAATTACAGGCATTTTATTTCTTAGATGAAAGGTTTAACAATTAATCTAGATAGTCTTATCTTTGGGGTTTTTCTGTGTGTGTTTGCATGTATAAACTATAAATACATTGTTCTACCAAAAAAAAAAATAATAAAAAAATAAATTGGGATCCTGGAATACTTCTTGTAGCATTGGAGTCCTGAAGTCACCCTCAGTGTGAGTGTACTCAGTGTGAGTACACTTGAGCTGGGGGGGCTCATATTAGTGATAAATTGAATTCCCGTCTCGTGAAGCATCGGAGGATAACACAGCTTTCCCTATTTCCATTTGGAGCTCTTAAAGGAAAAGGGCAGGATACTTCATGAATAAAGGGGAAATAGTTTTGGTTTGAGTTTACTGTGGTGGTGATGGATTCTTGTGAGCAGGGTCTGAAGTTCCCAGTTTAGAGTCCAAGTGCATTTTTCATTACGTTCTGCACAAAAACTGGCGGGGAGAAGTATAATCCATTGACCAAAATGTTTACGAGGCAGTGCACACATGCAAAAAACCCACAAAACTGTGGAATTTGAGTCTAGCAGAGGGTGGGGCTGATGGGGCTTGCACTTGTTTTTAAAAGAGGAAAAAGAAATGTAAGATGTTCTCCTACAGCAGCAGTGTCTGGTTGGCAGACCCTGGTCTGAATCCCTCTGGGGGAACACTCCTAGACTGCTGCCTTTTTTAAGGAGTCAGGGAATAGTTACCTGAACAGGGATGGGTGCCTGATCAGCCAAAGCAGCCTGTGATGTCCCTACTAGGGGTAGCCAATGCGTCCTGGCTCTGCTAGCGTGGGGCTGGAGGGGAGCACAACCTGAGACTGCTCCAGCCACAGCCTGGGCAGGAGGGAAGGACTACTCAGGGATTCATTTATGCTATGGGGAGAGCTGGAGGTGGATGTTCCAAGACCCAGCTTTAGCTTCTGTGGGGTCTAAACTTGACCTAACCTGAAAAGTGTATAAAACAAAACCAAAAAACCCCAAAACCTGAACAAAAAACCCTAGCACTCTGTCAGTGCCTGAGACCCAAAAAATGAAGTGGGATAATAAATACATAAAGTAAGTAAGCGTAGGTCACCAATATAGACCATAAACATCTACATGGAAGTACGTGAACTGTACAATAAGGCAGCATGCCTGGTTTTCTGTTGTGTAGCATTGCAGGGTTCTTGTAAGGATACTTGAAAGCTGAAACAGCCTGGGAACTTGGCTTCCCTTGCAACAGATTGATGTTCTTTGGACAGGTTTTCAGCCATGGAGTGATTTTGTCCTGATGTTCTGTGTGTGGTGGAGAGATGTGTTGGGAGCAGGGAAGGCCAGAAAAAGATACTTGGAATGAAAATGAACTTGCGGGAAGGAAAAAGAGCAGCTTTGCAGTGAGACTGAGAATAGTAGTACTAGAATGCGTAATGGGCAGCTAAAGATGCAAGTACTTTTGTCTTGCAACTCTCACTGGATCTCTGATACTGTTATGTAACCCCTTGTGCCTATTGAATAAAAGTTTAGAAGATACTATTAGGTTTAGATATTATGGACTGATGTTAATCTTCAATAAGTTATTGTTAGATAAGCCTCATCTCTAAAATTCAATACAAGAATATTCTTAGACATTGTGGTTTATATTTACAAGCAATACTAACTTAGCTGTGAATACTTAACTGTGCTATCTAGAACGTGGTATTAAAAATAATTTCCCTTCTGTTACTATATACATTAATCCTGCACTGTATAGTGATGTTAAATATAAAAATCTTAACTCTATTATCTGTTTTTAATGCCTCTAATAAAACTTAGTTTTGCACTTTCACCTGTTAGTTTTTGGGCACCAAGATGGTGAAAAATAAAGACATTTAATCTCCTGAGAGGAGCACCTTTCTATCCTAAAAAATAATTTGCTCTGAGTTTAATCCAGAGCGTCCCCAAGGCATTTCAGGTTTCCCATTTGGCAGGCCTGGTTTCTTGTCAGCTTCTCTCATCTAGCAAGGTGGAAACTGCATTAAATTGTATCTCCTGCTTCCTCCCAGAAGCAGCTCTCCCAAAAGGCAAAGGAACTGAAGAAATCCAGGGAGGACTTTTCGTTTTCTTGTAGCATGTTTTTTGGTTCAAAGCAGCATCAACTTCCCTGCTGCTCTGCAGTGAAGAGAGAGCTTGGATAGCACTGCAAAGCAAAATGTGATGTAGAACAAGCTGAGTTGAAAATGGCATGATCAGTACCAATAAGAAGGGAAAATCAAATAGGGGATTCTGAGCAGGTGAAGCACCCTCATGTCCCCCAGTTGACCGAACTCCAGTGCACTTCATGGTGGTGTTTATTAGATCAGCTGTCTTGGTGTACAGTTTTTCAAGGATTTCCTTCAATTTGTATTAATGCCCTATCAAAAAATCAACACAAACCAAACAAACCCAAACAGAAAACGAATGGAAGACAGTAACAGAAGGTTCATATCTTGACTTTGTAATCAAAATAATGTTTTTCATAATTTTAAAGTAAATCAACAGCTTCTTTAACCATTTTTTTTGCTGTTTTGTTTTTCTTACATATTTTTCATTTTCTCAAAGCTTTGTGAATGACATTTAAGCCAAGAAAACTGAAAAGTCTATGTACACAAAATTCTTTCAGAATTGGATTAATCACTGTATTGAGTAATGCATACATACCAAAATACTAATAAAGATATATTTATAACTTGGGGAGCAAGGTTGTCACAAGCATACACTCTTCTACCTAGATTTGGCACAGAGAGGAAGGCAATGAGGCCTCCCAGGAGCAGGAAGAATAGATATGGCTGCAAAGCATATCTGTGGTTGCCTCCTGTATTATGTGTATTGACCTAGTAAATTGAGATGTCTGCAAAGGAGCTGCTATGCTATAAATATGCTTGTGCTAATATTATTAAAGCTCTTTGGCAGTTCAGTTTTGTCCTTATGGCTTCCCAGGGAGATGCCAAAAAGGTGGCCCCTGGCCACAGCTTGTCTGAGCAGCACGTGCCTACCTGTGCTGTAATTGCTTAGTAAGATGTAGGTCGGGCTTTTCCCTGCAAGGATTGTGAAATATGTGCAGCTGTCTAAATAAGTGCTTGGTGAGATATTTAAATCTTCCTAACTTGGTTCAAATCTTTATGAGCAGGATGTTTGAATGCTGTTGAAGAACAGAGAAGCTCCATTCTTAGAAGCTGTGAAAAGTCCATTCCTTGTCCTCTTTGCTCTCCTTTGTATCTTTAGGAAAATAAAATTACTTCCAGGATTGTTGATATCCAGTAGAGGCTTAACAGCACTGATCTTGCTTGGGAATAGCAGTCTTGCTGGTTAAAGGAAGAAAAAATGAAGAGGAAGAAAAGAAGTAACTGACTGATTAATAAACTAAACTAATGCAAATACTGGGAATAGGAAAGCCACTTAAAAGCAGATTATTATCCCTTGACAATCCCTAAGATCTAACCTCACTAAGCTGCGGTTCAGATGACATCCTGAAGCAGTTCCTGGTAGGGACCTGGCCCTTGTTCCAGCAAAGACGGCAGGAGAGATGAAAGGGATGTGGTTTCACCAGGCTTTGACTTCATTATCTTACCATCTTCTAGAGCTATCTGGCAGTCACTTGTACAGTGCAGGTTGCGATTTCTCCCTTAATTGCTCCCGCCTGCTGGAAGGCTTCATTCCATGCCCTGACACAGATGGCCCCAGCCTGGTGCACAGACTCACTATCCTCCTCTTCTGAAGCTGAATCCTTGTAGTGTTTCAAGGGACAGGGAAAGGGTGTTGTTTTCTCATGAGACTAGCCACTGCAATTTGTAACTTTGTAGCCCAAGGAGGTCCATCCTGCTACCTCTTTTTATGGAAAAGATGGGGTAGGGCTCTATAGTACCAGAGCCCTACAGGCATGTACCCTCCTGCTGCCAGGGACCTTTTATCTGCTGCCTTCTCTTCCCCTCTGCTTCATACCTTCCTTCACCTTGAAGCTTCAGATCATTGCATTTCCTTAAACCCCACTAGGTTCAGAGGGAAAGGTGTGAGAAATAGGGGAGTGATGGTTGGTAACAGTGCTCCTGGAAGGCTATGAAAAAATGTGAAAATGTAGAATGGGTTTCTTCCTTGATGAAAATAAAATCTTTATCTATGCACATACAGATAGATAATAATGAAAATGTCTATTTTACTGTTTATTTTTCAGGTTATGGTTTTGTAGATTTTGATAGTCCGGCAGCAGCACAGAAAGCAGTAGCATCTCTCAAAGCAAATGGCGTGCAGGCGCAGATGGCAAAGGTAAGAGCAAACATGATATTACAGGATTATCTGAGCTGTTGGGTTAAATTTTCAAGAGTGTGTTTTCTTAAGGTTTTGGTTTGCTTATTCCGATGTTTTTTTCATCCTTTGGCTCCAGTGTCTTATTCATCCTATGGTTTGTCTGTGATCTTGAGGGCTGTGTCTCATGCAATTGGTTCCACTCTCCCTCTGTCCCTCTCTCTGGAGAGGGTTATAAGATGGGGTGTGTTGGAGTGGCAGAGTGGTTGGAAATACCTTTGTGCTGCTGGCAGTGTGAAAGAGTTTATTTTTATTTGCCTCAGAATTGTCTTTATTTGGTTCCTTTGCCTTGGAGTAGTTATTCTTTTCTGAAATGCCCGGTGGGCTTCTCTGAAGGAGTGATTGACTGAACATAAGGAAAGTTTGTTTGATCTGCCTTGGTTTGGCTTCTCATGTTGTTTTGTTTTGAGGACTTAAACGGAAATATAGCAAGTTGCTGGAGGTTGTCTGGAGGTGACTGACGTCTGTTGTTCAGACAGGCTGTGGAAGCCGTGCTGTACATCTCATAGCAGGTGTCGTGAGCTCAGATACACTGTTCCTGGAACTGTCTTTTGTCCCCAAGCAAAGAGGCTAATGGGGAGAAGAGGGTTATAGTAAATGACCATCATGTGCTCTGGCTGTTGTCTTTCTGAAGGCATAATCGTGTGTCTTTAGGCTGTAGACTGTGTCGGCCAGCCAAAATAGCTGTTACTTAGTACTTAAAAAATGCCTTGCCCTAGAATAACAAAAAGCTCTTAATACTGCCTGCATTAGACTCTGCAGAAATTATGCCAGCCTAGAATCTCAAAGAGTAAAGACAGACAGGTGATTACAAAAATATAGGCAAATCAAGTTGTGAACAAACACCACATTTAAAGCTTTCTATTGCAGGAATGGTGGTGATTTTAACCTTTGCTTTTCAACAATATACTACTAACACCATTTTTATTTTATTTTACTTTTTTTACAAAAAAAAACCCCAAACAACCAAACCTTGGTGGCAAATGAGTTTCTTTTGCCTTCCACTGAGTTATACTCACTGTTCCTTAAAGTAACTGGATGTCATCCATGTATTTCTGTTTAACTGTGTCCCACAATGCAAGCTGTGCAGTTTTATTGGCTCTCAGTTTTTATCGACATGTGGTGATAAAAAATATTTGCTTCAAATGGGTAAAAGATGGCAAGCTGAAGAATGTGAACACCTACTAAGGACTGTGCTATTTTATTTCTCAGATATACTGCATCTCCTTTCTTAAAATATAGGCAATTTGACACATTAGTCAAGCTGTGAAAAAGAAACCAAAGACAGGAGATATGTTTTGTTCTACTGGTTGATATCAAATAGCCATTTCTGGGGAGAAATAAATTTCTAACTACATAAATCTGTAAAGCTGTAGATTTAAAATTAGAGATTTAAAGATGGAATTGAAAGATAAATCTGTGTTTGGTACACTCAGGACTCTGAACAATGAACTATTTCAGATTGCATACATGAACATACCAAAACAGAAGGTGACAAAATACAATGTTTGGATTGTTCAATATTTGGGGGGCTAAAAGCAAAGTCTGATGCTTTCAGAGTGAGAAGGGCTGTATCAACCACTGAGGTTTTTTTTCTGGGGTAGCTGTGGTGGGAATAATTTTTTTTTTTGTCCTGCATGATTTTGAGGCAGCTGCTGTGCACACATTTGTTTGCATAAGACTCACTGTATTTTTATTATTTAGCCATGGTGCCTGGAATCCCAGATAGGTTCTTTTTAGTGTGTTTGATAGCTCAAAATAAATATACAACTGACTTTTCCTATCTCTGAAAAAAACCCAAAGTATTTAAAAAAAAATGGGGGTTCAAAAGAAATTGAGACAACTCTACACAAAGTACCTCACATTGCTGAGAAGGCGGGAGCCTGGGAAAGCAAATCTATCTGGAGAAACATATTAGTTCTGCACTCGTTTGAAGCCAAGTTGCATAACATGACTGAAAGACTATGTTACCTGCCAGTGTCTGAATTAACAGGGAGGGCTCAGAAGAGGTTTGAAGAAAGAGACCGAGGAAGGGTTTAGCCTTCACTTCTGCAAGTTTATTCAGAGCAGTTTTGTTTCAAGACCTGCTTTAATTAGTGGTGAATGGTGGCTGTCAAAGGAAATCAAAGAAAAAATAGCATGTGTGAAGAAATTACCTACACTTTTTGCAGGCCGTAACTTTAAAATGTACAGTCACTGTCCTGTATCTTTCATTCTGCATTGCAAAGCAGTGGAATTGCCCCATGTAGAGGCTCAGGAGAAGACAGTAACCTGTGTTAAGCAAATGTCAAAAATCTCAGTCCAGTTGTGAATGCTTTTGAGTAAAGCTGAAAGAAGCGTCGGCCAGCTTTGGCTATGCACTGGCCTTCTCCAGTAGCAACAGAGCATATGCTGAAGTGTCAGTATAGTCTGTGATGTTTTCCTGGAGAGAAATCTTGCTCAGAAAGAGAAGTTCTTTCTCAGTTTTAACACAATATAATTTTTCTCATAGAAATCCAGGAATCTTCTTTGGAAAACAAAAAGCAGAACTGAACCCCCACCCATGCTGGCTAGAAGAAGTGTCTTGTGGATACTTGAGTAAAATATACTCATTTTATTGATGCATAAATACAGTTGCCTCCCTCATTTTTATAGCATTTGGACACCTTTTTGGCTGATTTTGTTTCAGAGTGCTGCCTCTGGAAAGTGGTTATACTCTGGTGGATCTATGCTCCAAGTCCCATCACTGTTGGAAAACTTGTTCTGTTGAGGCTAATACACCCTGTAACCCTGCACAGGGAAAAACATAATTAAAAGTTTAACTCTCTCTTTTTGTTCTCTTGGATGCTGTTCAGCTTGGTGTAAAGTAGTCAGGAGAGGATTTGGCTGAGGAACAGCAGTATTATGCTTGCAGAGTTAGTGGTAGCAGCTGGGAGTTGAGGTCTCATGGGCCCATGGATGGCTGCCTGCTTGGTGGGACAAGGACCCTCGCAGCCTCCTGCCCACATGACACGTGCATGACATTGTACACATGTCTTATCACCTTGCCTCTTTAGCATTTCTCTTACACACACATCTGATACAGAAGTTTTGACTACTGCCAATATCCTGTGTCCTATGAAGTACATTCAGGCTATCTGTCGTTTTCAAAAGTGCCTATTAACAATTTCATTTGTTGAGAATAATTAATGCTATGGAGCTCCTGAGTGTTGATTTCTCAGCTGGCCTGGCTTATTTTACTATGTACTTCCTGCTTGCCTTTGGAAATAACTCAGATGTGCAGAGTCCTTCGTATGTATGTAGCACCTACTGATCCAGGCTTGTAGAATTCAGGTGGGTTTTTGTTTTCCTACTAAGTATGGCACAACTGATATTCCACTGGATAATCTCACAGGAATTACTGATTTGTTTGTCTCTTTGTGCTAGGGATTATACAAACATGACATATAAACAGTAATGCTTAAGTGCACGGTTTATATATCAGTTTGGGTTTTTCCATCTGCTCCTTTCCTGTGTTTTCTAGAAAAATGTTATAGACAGAACATGGAAAATTACGAGAATCTTAGTAATATGGGAGCTGGCCCAGACAACTAGGCAAGGAAGCTACTACACATGAAAAACGTATCAATGTTCTAATAAAATCTGTAGTCCCGTCTATTCTTGGGATTCACAGGAGTCTTTCAACCAGAATTACATATTCATGGACACACTTCTTCATCTACTTTATATGTAAGCTTTGAATGATGTAGAAGAGTCTAAGTCACCTGAAGAATCAATAGATGCATCTTGTCTAAATAAATTTTCATGTGTGAACTTGTGTCAGCCTGATGTTGGTGGACTGTGCAATCAGTTTATACATTCACAGAGATTTTGGGGTCCTCTTAACCATCTTTTATTTCCAAGTCTAGTCTGCTGTAAGATTGCATGCAGTAGAAGTTCAGGCAAAGGTAGGTTCTTGCAGAAAGTATGTAAGATCTTCTTTAATATCTAGCAGCCCATCAGGAATGTTGAAATACATTCACCAAGGAGGTGTTTTCAATCTTGCTGTTATTCCAAGTGTATTTATAAGGATTAAGAAAAGTAGTTGATGATGCATGCCTTCTCTGCGTTTTCCTTTTGTATGTATAATGTGCTTAGACATCCTCAACACCTGTGTGAGAAATGTGGGCACTGAAGAAATACTTAATCAGTGTTGGCAGTTGTCTAAATCCAAGAAACATTTCTCGACTACTTTGCTGCGCTCATTGCCATCCAAAAGTTACATCAATGATGCTGGTTCTGAAAAAAGATTGTACCACTAGGCTCTGATGTCTTTTGCTTGACAATGGAATTGCAGATTTTTCCTTCTCTTGTGATATTTTTCTCATCTCTCCATGATGCAGAAGCCTAAATACAGGGAGTGATCACCATCTAGGTGAAAAATAGAAGTGAGCTGTTTCCCACACAACAGGGCCAAGCTTAAGGGCTTCTTCAGAGGAACAGAGAAACGGTTGCTGTATGGTCAAATAAACACAAGCACCAAGGAAAAGGAAATCCCACAGAAGAATCTTATTTATTTTCCAGGCTTTTGCATAGTTTTCAGGAATTTCTCTAGTGTGAATCAGCTAATCAAATAAGTCCATTCTGTCTGCTCTTTTTTCAGCTTCATTTTCTCTTCTTTTAAAATTACTTCCCTTTTTTCTCTGTCATATACCAACATTTTAAAGGGCTGTTTGTTAAAATAAGCACTGCAGAAAATTGAAAGACTCTCCAGTGAAAGCCCTTCTTCCTAATTTTGTTTTAATCTAGATTTTAAATGGAAATTTTCAATTCTCTGTATTTTGCAGTTTAAAACTTCATGAAAATATTTAATAAAGATGTTATCCTTATAAAATATTAAATATGGCCTATACACTGAATACCTGATACACTAAACCCCACAAGTGTTTTCTTAATTCATGATTGAAATGTCTGCAAATTTTAGCTAACCAAACCTCAGTAGA